GAGGTGTGGTGGGAAGGCGGGAGGAGGAGGGGAGTGGTGGAAGGCGGAGGAGGAGGAGGTGGTGGAAGGAGGAGGAGGAGGGTGGAAGGCGGGAGGAGGAGGAGGGTGGTGGTGGGAAGGAGGAGGAGGAGGAGGAGGAAGGAAGGGAGAGAGGAAAGAGAGAAGAAGGGAGAAAGAAGAGGGCGAAGGATGGGACAAGAATAGACAAGGAAGAGGGAGGGGGAAGAGAGAGTGAATGCAGCCCTAACCTCCTCCTCCTCCTCCTCCTTCCCATCCCTCCACCTCCTCTTCCTCCTCCTCCCCCACCTCCTCTTTTCCTACCTCCTCCTCCTCCTCCCCCACCTCTTCCTCTTCCCCGTGGTAAAATAATTTATAACAGTATAGAATATTGCATTATAAATCTTTTGCCTCAGACTAGTTACGAAAGGGAGCTATTTATGGCTTACCTTATTATGTCTGTCCTTCCTTATTATGTCTGTGACGATAAAGATACACATTAACTAACCTTTGTCTGTCTGTGTCTCTGCCTGACTGAAACTTAATCCCTCTGTTATGTCAATTACTTTATTTATTTACACTGTTTAGTTTTCCTCGAGGATCTCACGTCTCATACTGAATGTTATTTAGACTAGAGTGAGTGAGTGTATATAATGTTGGTCATCTGGGAAAAAGTATCGTACCTACAAAATTTTATCATGATTGAATAAATATCTCATAGCATTTACGACGACACAAAAACAATAGTTGTCGTTGTAAATAATGAAAATAATGATAAAAAAATATGAAAAGGTCGTGAATTTCAATCGTTTTTTCTCCTCTCAAAAAAGAAAAGTTAGAGGTGAAATTCCCGGAAGACAAAACACGAAACGACACAGCACGGCGAGTGTTGGCCGCTCACAGCATACTAACGATACCTGTCCTCTCTGCCCCCTTCTCTCCTGGAAGCCCCATGGGACCCCTGGCCCGGGTAGGGCACCTGCGGGCCTATACAACACTCAATGTAGCCCCCCCACATTTGCAACATCAGTGGATGGCTCTGCCGGTCCTGTATCGGTCTCTCCAGTCACCTCAGAGCTCACCAGCGAAGGTGATCTCACTAATAACTCGTATCAGTAACAGCAAACTAATACTATCTACGATGGTATTAGGTTCCTGAAACATCCACCGCAGGTCAAAATATTGTAAATCGGTAGCATTATAACATAAGGTTCAATGGGATACTCCCCCAGCCAGTTGGACACCCACATGTATTACCGACCAAAAATCCTACACTAATAATATACCTACAACACAATTAAACACAATCTACAACATTGTTCTGTAATAATCCATGTTAATAGGTTTAAACTATCATGAGAAGATTGAAGTGTCATTAAAGCAGCATCACACCATTACTGGGTACAATATCACCTGATCACACATTTACCAAGACCATCCACAAGTTTATAGAGTCCGTAGTCTTGTCGGGGTTTGTCACATTAACCTTGTGTACCATCATTTTGTAAACCTCACGTGTGGTGGTTGCCGGTGTTATAGGTAATGATGCTCATGACTATACTGCCATTCTTCTCATCTGGTATAACGATCTTCATGACTACTTATCGGTACTGTACTGTTCAATTAATTTTTAAAAAACTAAAAACTTTGCAATATCCAAGTAATTTACCTGTCGAACAGAATCAAGGCTAATTCCCAGGTGAAGACTCAGGTGAAGGAGAGATATTTAAGTGCATAAACAGCAGAATGAAAAGGTTCCAGGTAGTACGACGTTTCTCCAGATGAGGCACGGGAAGCAGCAGCCCCCTCATGTAGTCTGCAGACACCATCCCTCAGTGTCTCAAGACCCACATCATCATTGGAACACGGTCATCAACTTCTCCTGAACCTGATGTGTCACTATTTTCATACATCTGAAATCCAAAAACTATAATTATCCAAAAGAAGTTTTATGGATTCTGTATAAAAGTGACTGATTACTATTTATCTAAATTTACTCAACCATAACTACTTTAGTACAACCAAAATAACACAAAAACACCAAATGTTTAACCACAGATCCTTAAATCAGTAAGTTGAGGAACACCTACGTACAGTATATGAGATTATGCACAAAATCAAATTGTCAAGTTAATGTGACGCGAATGAATATATCGTACTCTATCATCTCTTGTGTTTGAACCTCTGTTCTGTACGGCAGTAATCAACTACAGCACCTCAGTGACTGACGTACTCAGATAAGGCAAAATTGTATCTCAATCTTGCCAATAGTTGTTAAACATTCAGACTGTCTCCTCACACCTCCACGTTAACCTACTCTTCTCCAGCTCCACACAACATGGAAAGAGAAAATCATTTATTAGCCATTTATTAGCTTCTAATATATGTATATGTTCTTATCCATGAACCTGCTATAAATTTCAGAGAATCGGTTGTGATTCTTTTTAAAACGTCAAATTGTATCAACAAACAACTGAGCGCAGTATTTTATGCATTAAACAATTCACTTCATAACCTACGTCTTCGATAATATTCTTAAGAACTGGACAATAAAAGGCAACACAGACCGAACGTCAAACAAGCTGAAGAGCACAAATTATAAATAATATTTTCAGTGTTGTATTTTAAACTACTGAACCTAAGGTCATTTTATTTACCCGACAAAATCACAAGCGGCTGTGTCGATATTCGGCCAGACTTTAGAAGTACCAGATACTGAAGCCTTTTGTTATTTATCAATCATAAAATAAATGCACTGCGGACATAGTACTGGTGTACAATCTATATTACAGCTGCACCACCAAAATAATTTTAAAATAGTTAGTCCTGTTAAATCTAATTTTTCAATGGTGTTGCCTCACAGAAAATAGTCATCGTTTTAAGGGATAACTCGTATTTAATGTTTAGTACAATTTATACCAAAGCCCTTGCATATATCCTTATATCTGTATAAAGCATGTATTGAGGGAGAATTGAAAGTACCTATATAATTATTGGGAAAACCAAAGTGGCGGCTAATGATGTAATATAGTGAATAGTATAATAGGTCAATTTTTAGTTTGGACCAACTACGGCTCTCGAGTTGAGCAATGTGTTTTTCCGGTGGTTTAGACAATTGTAAGATACTTTTCTTCTATGACAGTTCCCTCACAAATGACCTAAAATTACATAACCTAACCTCCTAACCGGGGAGTTTCGCCTACCTGGATCCCCAGGTATATTTAAGTAATTTGCGAGGATATATGCACGGGCTTTGGTATATATTGTACAAAACATTAAATGCAAGTTACCCCTTCGAAACGTTGACCATTTTCTGTAAAGCAACACCATAGGAAAATTAGATTTGACAGGAGTACCTATCTTAAGATTATTTTGGTAATGCAGACTCCGTTACCACAATACTACACTCCAAGGTATCACTTATTGTTAATTTACAACCATCTAGACGTTAATGACCCACTGTTCACATTTGATAATTACCTTTACTGTACGTAAACTCGAATAGGTTCTGAGTCCACCTCTGGGCGAAAGAAGTCTTGGCGGATGGTCAGGTCAGGTCAGGTCTCTTAGCAAAGGAGTCTACCAACTTTACATTTGGGCAGCTGGACGAGTTCCCACCTCGTCCCCACGCAGGCGCCAGGCGGGTCAACACTGTGTAGCATCTCACAACCCTGCCTCCACCTCTCATGGTTGTCAGCGTCCGATAATTAAAAAGTATGAAATCATTCTTAAATCTCACGAAAATTTAAACTAGATTTTACTATAAGTAAAAAAAAAATAGCTACTGGTTTTAGAGTACTTCTAACGATTTATTCAGTTAATCACAAATGAAATGCGACGTTATGGTTTATATTTTGTCAACTAAATTATAATTATCCTTAAGCACAAATTTATCACTAAGATCAAAGTTTTATATTAAAGAATATTAATAAAATGATCTATATAGAACCAGACTTCATTACAATACACACCCAAGCTAATTACAGTCTTCCACGGTTAGCAAGTGCGTAATACTTCCCTCTTCTTCACCAATGACTCGCTCTTTGATCAGAAGATTACTAAAATAAAACTCATCAGTTATTAATCAAGCACATGTGTCTTGTTGGCGGGGGATCAGGATCAAGCTGCTGTGGATCCCTCTCACATAGGCATTAGTGATGACAATAGTTGATGCCTTACCTAAACTCGCGTCCAACAATGACAATGTTGAGTACAATCTAGTACTGTCAAACAGAACCTTACAAACTGTAATCAGAAAAGAGCTTTCTGGTGAATTTAAAGCCAGTAGACAAGTGCAAACCCACACACGCCCTATCTACCCACACACAAGGAAATGCACGTGTGGTAGGGTATTGGAGATGGGTGAAGGCTGACCGAAGTAACAGGGACGCATTAGAGAACCTTATGTTGAGTGTCTGATATAATGTTCGTTGTCTCCTACGTCACTTGTTGTTATATTTGCCGATCATGTTTTATACAACTGTTAATTCTGATTGTAAAGTGTCATTTATTGACCTGTGTGCGTCACCACCAACGGAAAAACTGTTCATTTGGGCCGAAAAATGTTGTATATTGAGATTATGATTTTTTTAGAGGATTAGTCAGGGGGGTGAAAAAAATGAATTGAACAAAAATAAATACAGAAATGGAAAAAAAATAATAGTGAGAAACGATATATGTAGGTTGTGTTGTCAGGGAAACAATTGAGACCCTGCAATTGTGTGTAAATGAGGCAGAAAGTTAGATCAGCAACCTGGGACTTGGTCACATATGGCAGCAGGGTCTACCATTAGACAACACATTATGCTTCCAATATCTTCCCAGGCGGTAGTACCTCCCTGTTTGGTAGCTGCCTACTACCTACTACCTAAGGTTACGGCTGAACAGGTAAGGTTAATGCCTTATTTGATAAATTATTTCATTGTAATATATACCTTCATTAACGATGTTCACGACAATTTAAGAATCAAATACTTCCGACGTTAAAAGGCAGAGAGACTTCCTTTAGTAAAACAAAAATTTTATTAGAGAAATAATATATTTAACAGACAACACAGTATAAACATTGGAATGAAGGTGTTAGTTCATCAGCATTAAAGCTCAGCCCAGTCTTGACTTCCTAAGCAACAATCCGCCAATCAAACCTGAAGGCTGTAACTAAACGCCACCCAATTTTGGTTTTCTTCGCGACCAAAAACCAACCAACTTAACAAATTGAACCGATTGCTTAGGAAGACAAAAAAGAGGGCGGGGCCTAGTTAATATAACACACGCAACTAATCATATTTATCGCCTAAGTTAAAATATTAATCCTTTATCTATACTACAAACCTAATCTAAATTGTTTCTATCATTTTACTTACCTATTGTTTTGATCCGAGTTTTATAATCTTCAGAAAGAAACAACCTATACAGTAAAGGTTCAAAAATCCTTTTATTATTATTTTTAAACCTAATTATATATTTTTGTTGTTTTTTAATACTTTTCTATTTATTGTTTATTATTTTTAATGAATCATTCTACCACAACAACAACAGTAAAGTGCACCAACTGTGGGCTGCAGTTGTGACGTCAATAGGCAGTAAGCACACACTGGCTTCAATAATATAGATGACAAGATAGTCGATATATTAAGACTATGAGAAGTTGACTCCGTGTATAGAATGAGACACAATATGGTATATATAGTGTGTAACAACCAAAGCCACAATTACCTGACAACTGAGCGCTCTTAATAATATTCTAGATCTCCTCTGTGTGTTCTTTCAGTGCGTTACTGCTCACATTATGAATAACAGGTGTACAATAAACTAGCCTTTGTTCACCGTAAAACTAACAAAATAATAATAAGAGTTAATTATTTCTTTGTGAATATTGTAGCTCAAAGAAAAATTTGTTCTTCATGATTGTATTTATTTTTTTACTTTTAATTTTTATTTTGTAATTTAATGTAAAAGTTTAGGAAGTTTAGGAAGGAAATGCCTAAATAATCACAAAATATGGAACATATATCTTCTGTATATTATAATTTACATATATCATAATGTATATTTGAATAAATTAATGATGTTGACAAGCGAATATTACCATCAACATGTTTAAATGTATATATTTAGTGAATATAACATGTTAATTTACATTACTTCATAACTAATTTCTTCATTATAGGAAATATATAACTAATATACGGTATATAATACTGGTTATAATACAGTATATTGCTATAAACTATAGTTCTTATCTGTCGGTATACACGTTATATATCTGTCGGTACACACATTATATATCTGTCGGTACACACGTTATATATCTGTCGGTACACACGTTAGAGTATACCCGTCATTCTCTGGTGTACTGTATACGGTACAGGTGATCATCGTCACTGTTTTATTTCTTCTTTCCTTTTATTTTCTCTACGCTACTCCTGACAACAGTTTCTCGTCACTCAATATTGGATTCACTTCACCCGACACCAACAACAACAACAGCACAGCACAGCACAGTACAGTGGTCTCTGCCCAGACCACTAAGCTCGGTGTGTGGATTGTCTTGAATTATGAATACTGTCTTTAACAGAGCCATGACGTCACAGCAAGTCCTTAACCCTTTGAGATCCGGAAGGTTGAGTCATCGTCCTCAACAGGTTAAACCACTGTTGTCATCAGAGGATTAAACCATCATCCTCAAAAGGTTTAAACAATATCTTTATCAAACATGAACCCCCAGATAAAACTTTAAGCTACTCTTGTGTCAACTTGAGAAAGAGAGAGAGAGAGACACGCGCCACCAACCTCACTAGACACACGGCTGCTGAACGTAATCGAGACAAAAGCCGCGGTTCTCCACCTCGGCTGGACTAGAGCTCGCCTCCTGGGAGTCTGTGTGATACACCAAAATGAACGGCTTCACGAAACCTGTGTGGGAGAAAGTACACTAGTTTAGTTTAGTGTAGGAGATGATTGGTAGAAAGAGATAAGTAGTGTAGGTAGATAGATAAGTAGTGTAGGTAGATAGATAAGTAGTGTAGGTAGATAGATAAGTAGTGTAGGTAGATAGATAAGTAATGTAGGTAGATATATAGACACACTGATAAAGGCAGGAAGACAGGAAGCATCATCTGGAGATGAACCTAACACTAGCACTAATTGATGGGTTGGGTTAGGTTAGTTATTTATTATTCTCATTAAGAATTCTTAGCTTAAAAGCTCAATTTTCATAATTACAAATACTAATGACCCTGTAGCTTAGTTAACAAGTCTTAATTGTAGTTGATCAGCAGGTCGAGCAGCGCCCCTAGTGGCTGAACGGTGAGAGTTACCTGTTAAACAAATTTTCCGGCTCAATACGCATTTTCTCTCGGAATTATTTAATTACGCAAGTACATCCTAAACAACAGGAAAAATACCAAAACATAAACATGAAAGATTACAGGACAGAAGTAATTACTGTTTAAAAATCAATGGAGTTTCCTCAACAACATGTAGCACCTGACGGACCTCACCTGGAGAACTCTCGTCAACATAACACCTGGTCGATTTGTTTTAACATTTTACCTAATATAACATTATTGAGCTCTTATGTTTGTTCTTTTCTTTTTTACATTTTGGTTTCGTTTAAAATCTGAATATAAGTCTGCCATTAACGTGCTGATTAAGGTCATAAAGTTATCATTTTGTTAATTATATATGCAAATGACCCACTAATTAATTCTATTACTTTTCAGCACTAATTACTCACTTACTATAGTCTGCCCTGGTAAAATTTTGAGTGGTTAGGTTAAGTTGCTTTGGGTTAGGTTAGGTTAGGTTAGGTTAGGTTAGGTTAGCATGAAGGTAATTAACCTTCATGTAAAAGCAAGAGTTTCTAATCTCCAGGTGTTTCTATAGGTAGATGATTGACAGACATTTACACTCACAGAGAGAGAGAGATATTAAAAAGACCTAACAGAGATACACGACAAACGAACACACATACACTCCCCCCCCCCTACCCACACAAAGACCAAAACACTCACTAAACACCCTGACGTTGCCTCCGGTAGTAGAGGCGATGGTGTTGAGGTTATCTCCGCACAGCCTATCCTGACAGCTCGTCGCTGGGCTCCTGGAGTCGACCGACACACAAGGGATGGTCACCCAGTCCCTGGTGCAGTCGGCGGCCCCCACCACGCTGCCTACGGGCTGTGCTGTGCTGCCTGTGATACTGAAGGACTGCGGCTCTGCGTTCACTGTTGCGGGAGAGGGTGAGTGAGGATGAGAGAGGGTGAGTGAGGGATGATGTGGATAAGTCTGGGAGAGTAAGAGGTGGGTTTGAGTGAGTGAGTGAGTGAGTTGTGTGGAAGAGGTGTGTGGGAGTGTGGGGGAGAGAGGGAGACAGTGTGTTGGGAAATCTGAAGTTGAGTGAGAAATGTGTGACGAAAGAGAAAGAGAAAGAGAAAGAGACAGATAGACAGACAGACAGACAGACAGACAGACAGACAGACTCACCTGTATCAGTACACGCCATATACTGTATACCACAAAAGTTCTTCTCAGTTCTGATGCACATTGTGTAGTCTTGGTTGGACAGCTGAAGGCCGGAGGTCAGGTCATAGTTGTACGTCTTAACTTGACCTGTGACCCCTTGATAGTACTGGAGGCAGTTTGTCGGGGCTGGGAGATATAATAATAATAATAATAATAATAATAATAATAATAATAATAATAATAATAATAATAATAATAATAATAATAATAATAATAATAATAACAATAATAATAATAATAATAATAATAACAATAATAATAATAATCTACATGTACACATCTATCTATCTATCCCTAACCTAACCACCCCTCACCTAGCCTTATGGGGAACTATAACAAACACACACACACACACACACACACACACACACACACACACACACACACACACAGAAAATAGAGAGATTATACAAAATAGTAGTATAACTTTCTCTATAACTAATCACCACAAGGTACAATTATACCACTATCACTTCCCAATTAACCTGTAACTACACTAGAGAGCAATAACAGATAATTCACGATAATTAAAAATATATAATTCGTATCTAATAATCCTACCGGAACTGAGTGTTAGAATGTACGAATATTGCAACTGATTTCACATCCCCATTAATCTATTGCAATACGTCAGGTTGCAATAGGGACTACAGAGAGAGAGAGAGAGAGAGAGAGAGAGAGAGAGAGAGAGAGAGAGAGGCCACAGCTGCACCTCCCCCAAAATCATGTTACAACAGCCTCATAAAAAGGTTTGGAGGAAGGACGTCTCGTGAGTGTCCTCCGTCACTCACACCTGGCTCACTCGTGACTCACCTGACTCATGACATACATGACTCACGAAGCACTTAACTCGTGACTCACCTAAATCACTCATGACCCATCTAACTCACTCATGACTCACCTAATACACTCATGACACACCTGACTGACTCACGACTCACTCATGACTCACCTGTAAAGTCGGAGTTACAGGGGATCTGAGTAACTTTGACTTTCCACTTCCTTTCAAACGAGGGTCCCATAGTTACGAAGGTGAGGACAGAGGGCGTGGTGGCTCCGGGTCCCAGGTCAACATACACTGTGAGAGAGGTCAGAGGTCAACAATAAGATCATTAAGGTATGGAAGGTAATTAAGGTAAAAAAACAAACAGGTAAGTAAGTAAAGGAAGAGTGATTAAAGGTGGAGAGGGTTGTATGGAGACTCAATCATAGGTAATTATTGGGTTATTAACGTGAGTAAAATATATATACAGGTTAAGTGAGAGAGTCATACACCGACGTCATTAAGGTGAGATATTTGACCGGCAAGACACGTATGAGCTGCCGTGTAGCGTTAATTAACCACTAGGTAATGACGTTAATGATAAACAAAACAGTAATAATGTCACCCAGTCTAATTAACCTCAACCACTAATTGTATTTACCTGACGAGGAATATTAATGGGATTGTCGCGATTCTGTCTGTCTGTCTGTCTGTCTGTCTGTCTGTCTGTCTCTGTGAAGGTTGTTGATGTGATTGGTTGGTGTGTCTGTCTGTTTCTCAGGTAAAAAGATAGATAGATAGATAGATAGATAGATAGATAGATAGATAGATAGATAGATACCACATCAACACACTCGGTCACCTAGCCATTAGAGGTCGTAGGTCACTGTAAGGTCCCTTGTATACTGCCCCAGCTCTCTCTCTCTCCTTAGGTTAGTCGTAGGGTTAGGTTAGGTTAGGTTAGGCTGTTCTATCACCCAGGGTTGAGAGGTCAGCTGGTCATATACATTATGCATTAAACGGCCGCCAGCACCACAGTTTAATGTCAAACACACACACACACACACACACACACACACAGGTAAGGATGGCTGTCTCGATGGGCACACCTTGACTACCTGTGTGGATGACGTGTAGATGACGTGTTGATGACGTCACACCACAAGTTAATGATACTCCCCAGGTGATACTCCCTCAGGTAACAATCCCCCAGGTGATAGTCCCTCAGGTGACACTCCACCAGGTGACACTCCCCAGGTGACACTTACTATGGTTGCCGGTGTTGGTGCCACATATAGTTGGCACCGGAGTCCCACCTGACACAGTGAAGCGATCATTGACACACTGGTGATCATTATTTTCTGGTTGGGACAGTGTCAGGGTGTCAAAATCCAACCTGCAAGTAGAAAGCAAAGAGTTAATTGTGGTAGTGGTTGTGGGTGTGGTTGTGGTTGTGGTGGTGGTTATTGGTGGTAGGTGAAGTATTGGTGGTTGTTGGTGGCAGGTGTGGTAGTAGTTATAGGTCGTGATAGTAGGTGAGATTGTGGTAATAGTTGATTGTGGTAGTAGTTGTAGGTGAGGTTGTGTTGGTGGTAGTTATGATATAGTGGTTATTGGTAACCCTGTATTGACCATAAAGAGATTTCAGTAATCGGTTAAATAAATCTGAAAATTCTCGACAAATCTGGAGAGAAATGGTGGTGTCATGCTCATGGTGTAAATGTCATGCTCCTGTGTGTAAACGTCATGCTCCTCACCTGTGTTGATTGACGGGTTGCGTAAATTGCATGACAACGTGACACACTATGACAAAACTGGATACATGACAGCTTGACAGATAGACAGACACAGAGACATAGATGCATACTGTGTGAGAGAGAGAGAGAGAGAGAGAGAGAGAGAGAGAGAGAGAGAGAGAGAGAAAACTATCGCCAGAGGTAAAACTTTTCTGTGGATTCAAAAGTTATATTTTCCAATTTCACTACTGGAGGAGGAGGAGGGAGTGGTAGTGTACCTTATTTTCTCACAACTATGATACAAAAGGTATTTATCTATCTATCTATCTATCTATCTATCTATCTATCTATCTATCTCAACTCCCAACGTCAACAAATAAAACATTCACAAGACCAGTACCAGAGAGAGAGAGAGAGAGAGAGAGAGAGAGCCGCCCGTGCTGTATAAACACAACAACATTCTATCTAAACTTTTTACTTCTGCGAGCTGTGGGTGCCCAGCCTATGGTGATATGGAGGGAGGGGAGAGGGTCAGATGGAGGGAAGATGGGAGGGAGGGAGAGAATATGAAGAAGGGGAAGTGGAAGGGAGGAAGGAAGAATGGGAGAGGGTGGAAGGATAGAAAGGAGAGGCGAAGAAAACGGAACGAGGATAAGAGAGAGAGGGAGAAAGTATGACAAATGAAAGGAAATAATGACGATAATAAAAAAAAGAAGAAAGAAGAATAAATGAGAGACAAAGACAAACAAATAAACAAACACAAAAATTAACAAAAAACAACAAAGAAAACAGCACAGAGAACGAGGATTATTTGGCCCATAAAAAAAAATAAACAAAATGGAACAGGATCCCCTCAAAATAACTCAAAAGAAAACGTAAAGGAATTAAGGGGAGACTGAGAGAGAGAGGAGGCGAAATAAAGTTAGGTATCGTCAATGGCATGGAAATGGAATCAACAGTTGGTGAAAGTTGTAAAAATAGAGTTAGTGGTTTACAGGTCAACTTTGTATGAGAAATTGGATGATGTATTCAGCAGAGAGGCAGCAGCAGTGAGGTGTGTGTGTGTGTGTGTGTGTGTGTGTGTGTGTGTGTGTGTGTGTGTGTGTGTGTGTGTGTACTATATCTATGTATGTATGTCAAATCATGTTTACATTAATTAATATACAATATACTATATCAACACACACACCTCCTCCTCCTCCTCCTCCTCCTCCTCCTCCTCCTCCTCCTCCTCCTCCTCCTCCTCGTCTTCTTCCTCCTCCGCCACTCACCTCAGCTGACAGATGTCATTACGGATCTTGTTGACAGTGAGCTGACAGGACCCGACGCCATCGAAGGCCGTAGGGTAGTTTGAGTTGACGAAGTAGGTGCAGTTCTGTGTTGCCACGCCCCCACACGACAGCTGAACTGTGGTAGAGAGCAGTTAGTAGGTCATATCTGTCTGTCTATCTAACACAAATACTGATTATTCTGTATGCGTGTGTATGTATGTAAAGACATTTATAGTGGTTACATGAACCTGTGTATGTATGTATGTATGTATGTATGTATGTATGTATGCCATGCCAGCTACGAGTCCTTGAACTACAACACGTACAGAGGCTCACTAGTAACGGACAAAATATACACACAGAAGGGACTATCCCTTGAGAGTCGGGTCGGTGGTGCAAAAGATGTAAAAATGGAAATCCCTCGCCAGCCAATTTGTTCAGTGTGATGGAGAACTTTGGAGGTGAGGATGTTGTGGATGAGCTGTTGGTGAAGAACATAACCAAACCTAACCTTACTTAACCTAACCTCACCATACTTAATCTATTCTAACGTAACCTTACTTTACCTAACCTAACCTAACCAACACAGTGACCTCACAACAATACTCACAGACGCAGCAGGACCCTCCGCCTCCGGTACAGGCTCCTGACGGGGCACCTCCGAGTCTCGCACAGTCGCTGGTGCTGTAACAGGTGCCGTTGTCTCCTGACGAAGCTGTGCAGGCCACATTCCTCACCCTCGCCGACGCCATGTTGAACAGCGAGAAAACGGGCGACACTGAAATCTTGAAGACTAAGAGGGTGTTAGTACGGTGTTGTGGGGTGTTATGGTGTGTTATGGTGTGTTATGGAGGTGTTATGGTGTGTCATGGTGTATTATTGGGTGTTATGGTGGTGTTATGGTGTGTTATGGTGTGTTATTGGGTGTTATGGTGGTGTTATGGTGTGTCATGGTGTATTATTGGGTGTTATGGTGGTGTTATGGTGTGTCATGGTGTATTATTGGGTGTTATGGTGGTGTTATGGTGTGTTGTGGGGTGTTATGGAGGTGTTATGGTGTGTTGTGGGGTGTTATGGAGGTATTATGGTGTGTCATGGTGTATTATTGGGTGTTATGGTGGTGTTATGGTGTGTTGTGGGGTGTTATGGAGGTGTTATAATGGTACACTCACAAATAAAGCTACAAATACAGGTAAAATTTCACGTTACCTTACACACACACACAGGTAAAACGATACGGCAGGTATTAATTAAGTTGACACCTATACTGTACAACAATTGGTTATCTCATAAGTCTATGCTGTGACGGTATAAGCTCGCTCTCTCTCTCTCTCTCTCTCTTCCAAAACACTCACCCTCACCCGGTTCCCCTCCCGTGTTTACAAATATTACAGGGTGTTTTTCACTTGTGTCAGGATCCCATTTCCCTATGAAAGATGTTTACGTGGCGTGAGTTTACTCCACAATGGTAAACAAATGACAGAGATAAAGGATTGAGGTTTATAAGGGGTGTGTGGGTGGGTGTGTGTGTGTGGGGGGTGTGTGTGGGGGGTGGAGGGGGTGGGGGTGGGGGTGGGGGTGGGGTGTGGGGGTGTGTGGGGGTGGGGGGTGGGGGGTGGGGGGGGCGTGTGTGGGGCGTGTGGGGGGCGTGTAAGGGGGTGTGTGGAGGGCGTGTGGGGGCGGGGGCGTGGGGGCGTGTGTGGGGTGTGTGGGGGTGTGTGGGGTGTGTGTGTGTGGGGGTGGGGGTGTGGGGGGTGGGGTGTGGGGGTGTGTGTGTAGGGTGTGTGGGGTTGTGTGTGTAGGGTGTGTGTGGGGGGTCTGTGTGTGTGGGGGCTGTGTGTGTGGGGGTTGTGTGTGTGGGGTTTGTGTGTGTGTGGGGGTTGTGTGTGTGTGGGGCTGTGTGTGTGGGGCTGTGTGGGGGCTGTGTGCGGGGGCTGTGTGTGTGGGGGCAGTGTGGGGGCTGTGTGGGGGTGTGTGGGGGCTGTGTGTGTGGGGTGTGTGGGGGTGTGTGGGGCTGTGTGGGGTGGGGCTGTGGGGGGCGTGGGGCGGGGGGCGGGGGGTGGGGGCGTGTGGGGGGCGTGTGTGGGGGCGTGTGTGGGGGCGTGGGGCGTGGGGCAGGGCGTGTGAGGGGCAAGAGGGGCGGTGAGGGGCGTGTGGGGGGCGTGGGGGCGTGGTGGGGCGTGTGTGGGGCGTGGGGCGTGTGGGGGCGGTGTGAGGGGCGTGTGGAGGGGCGTGTGAGGGGGCGTGGGGGGCGTGGGGGCGTGGGGGCGGTGGGGCGTGGGGGCGGGGCGGGGGCGGGGGCGGGGGCGTGGGGGGCGGGGGGCATGGGGGCGTGGGGGGGCGTGGAGGGGGTGTGTGGGGGTGGTTTTTTGACGTTGGCTATTATTAGTTTTTTTTTAATTTATGTTAAGTTAAATCGAACAAATTTGCTGTAAAAAAAGGTGAAGAAAAAACTGACCTGTGATTGGTAGATGAGTTCCATATTATCGTCCTGATCTTGACTATGATTGGCTGTTAGAGACGCCACGTATTACCCCACCCATCCCTTTCACATATCACGGGACAGGTGTGTTTAAACCTGTCATATCAACCACACGCGATATGACAGAGTTCTTTCGCGTGACAGGTCGTATGACAGTGAATATTCAGCGGTAACTCTTCCCCAATGGTGATCATTTTGCAACTAATACCGCAGCTTTCTCCATGGCTCTACACGAATGGCTGCGGCAGGGGGTACAGGGGTTTCTATCCGACTGAAAGTATCGTGAATAAACAAGCTCGTGATTCAGGCGTTTATTGTTTTTTACTTCACCCGATTGAGTATAATATTATTTCGTTAGTAAAGTTAATGATTCAGGCGTTTATAGTTTTCTCTCGTCATCCAACTGAAAGTATAATTTAGTGAAGAATTTTTTTTATATTTTTTCATTGTGATTTTTATTTATTTGTGAGGAAATAAAATATAGCGGTTTCATTCAATAGTTCCCGACACTATGCTTACCTAAACACACCCTAAAGCTGTTCCCTTACACACAACACACTCTACACCCACCACACACCACATCTAACACACTCACCACACCATAAACACCATACACCCACCACACACTACACCCACGCTCTCAAACTACCAGGAAACAGATAACAATATTTCCACTCGAATGAACAGGAAATTTATATGAGAGAAAGTGTCGCTGTGAGGTGTAGGGGTGACGAGTGTGTGATGGTCCTACCTGAACATTAGACACCCCAGATTATCTCACCTGTTGATTAACCTAACCTAACCTACCTGAACATTAGACACCCTAGATTATATCACTTAACCTAAGCTAACCTAAACAGGAAAATGAAAGCCAATATTCACATTAACCCGAGAATAGTGTTACCGGCTCAGATGGAAACAAGACATTAACACGACAATAATAACAGCTCCCAGGTGTTTAATGACCCAGGTGTTCAATAACCCAGGTGTTTATATGACCCAGGTATTTATATGACCCAAGTGTTTATATGACCCAGGTGTTTAATGACCCAGGTGTTTAATGACCCAGGTGTTTATATGACCCAGGTGTTTATATGACCCAGGTGTTTATATGACCCAGGTGTTTAATGACCCAGGTGTTTATATGACCCAGGTGTTTAATGACCCAGGTGTTTATATGACCCAGGTGTTTATATGACCCAGGTGTTTAATGACCCAGGTGTTTATATGACCAGGTGTTTATACATGACCCAGTGTTTATATGACCCAGGTGTTTATGCATATGACCCAGGTGTTTATAATATGACCCAGGTGTTTAATGACCCAGGTGTTTAATGACCCAGGTAAGCTTAATGATCCAGGTGTTTAATAACCCAGGTGTTTATATGACCCAGGTGTTTATATGACCCAGGTGGTGTTTATATGACCCAGGTGTTTATATTATGACCCAGGTGCTTATAGTGACCCAGGTGTTTATATGACCCAGGTGTTTATATGACCCAGATGTTTATATGACCCAGGAAGCTTAATGACCCAGGTGTGTTTATATGACCCAGGTGTTTATATGACCCAGGTGTTTAGCGACCCAGATGTTTATATATGACCCAGGTGTTTATATGACCCAGGTGTTTATATGACCCAGGTAAGCTGAAGGCGACCCAGGTGCTTACAGGCGACCCAGGTGTTTATATGACCCAGGTGTTTATATGACCCAGGTGTTTAATGACCCAGGTGTTTATAATACATATGACCCAGGTGTTTATAATTCCAGGTGTTTATATGACCCAGGTGTTTATATGACCCAGGTGTTTATATGACCCAGGTGTTTAATGACCCAGGTGTTTAATGACCCAGGTGTTTAATGACCCAGGTGTTTATATGACCCAGGTGTTTAATGACCGAGGTGTTTAATGACCCAGGTGTTTCAGGCTTGGTGCAATAAGTTTCAAAGTTAACTACTTAATTAATTGCCTCATGCCTGGCTGTTTAAATGACCCTGTCCCTGACACACGTGAAGAAAAAAATTAAAAAATTAAAAACCAAATTTCACCTGAACTGAAGCCTCTAGTTTGTTGCTGGAGGTTCACAGTTGGTCAATAGAAAGACAACTTTATAACCTATCTTCCCGACAGGTCAAAATATATCCCGAGGTGGGTGAGGTGAGTGGGCAGGTAGGTGGGTGGGTGGGTCGGTGGGTGGGTGGGTGAGTAGGTTGCCAAATAATGAATCCCTACCTTGCCACTTAACTCAGCAAGGATTAAAATTCACTCTAGCAAAATTTGATTGTATCATAAGTGCTGCGTCAATATTGGTTTGGTGGAGTACCCTTATCAGGCTCGTCATTGGTTGGAGCCCCCCGTGACTCCCTCCCTGACCCCCTCCCACGACCCTCTGACCCTCCCTGACCCCATCCCACGACTTTCTGACCCCCCTGACCTTGTATGAGCCCCTCCTCCTCTTCTTTATCCCCTCCCAGCCTCCCTTACCTTCCCTCCCTGCCTTCTTGACGGCTTAGAGGAGGGGTTGGAGGGAGGGTTTGAAGGAGGGGTTGAGGGGAGGGGTTGAGAGGGAGGGGCTGAAGGAGGGGTTGGAGGGAGGGGTTGGAAGGGGCTGGAGGAGAGGAGGAAGGAGGGAATGTTAGAAAGAAAAAGAGGAGGGGGGCACAGACGCTCACCAATGCACAACGGAATGCAGTAATGTTCCCCACTCTCCCCACACCACCCCCCCCACCCCTCCCCTCACACCACCCCCCCTCCCCCACACACCCCACTCTTCCCCATTACCACCCCCCACCTCTCCCCGCATTACCACCCCTCACTCTCTCCCTCATTACCGCCCCTCACTCTCTCCCTCATTACCGCACCTCACTCTCTCAGTGGAGGGAGGTGGGGTGCAGCGTACCATGGTGTAAACGCAGGTGTATTACGGCTTCACCTGAGAGTGCCAGTCCAGAGCTTGGTTAAGTTACGGTAAGTTAGATTAGGTTAGGTTAGGTTAGATTAGCTTAGCTTAGGGTAAGTTAAGTTATGTCCACACCTTAACACCTGGTCCTCCACCACACAACGCCCCTGTAATGACCCTGACCACTATAACTCCCCAGATTCCTCCCACCACGACGGCCCTGATACGTGTACTGAACATGGAATCCAAGTCACGGTGTTTGTGAGCTGGTTGAGTGGGTCCCAAAGGCCGGTATACTAAGCCTTCAGTACATAAGAGGCAGTGTGGCCGGTACTGCACTCGGTCGCCTTCACTTCCCCAACTGTATAGTCAGTTACAAGATGGGGGAGCGGGGGCTGTCCCGTAGCAGACCACAACACCTACAGTAACCTATAGTAACATACACAGTAACAGTAACATACACAGTAACACACTTACACCGTGAGTCACGCTCCTCGGTAGAGTTAGTGTTCCTGCTGCCTGTGCCACGGGGGGAGGAGAGCGGCGGTAGGATCTGTGTGTTGTCTGCAGTGATCGGCACCAGCTCCGTCACCGCCTCTGTCAGCAGCAGACGGGAGGCGGTGGTGTAGCCTGGGGGCGCTGGGATCTGTGCGTTGTTGACATCCAGTGACTCTGTGGCCGAGGGAGTGAACACCTTGTGCTTGGGGGAGTTTTTGGAGGACCACCTACTGAGGTAATACTGTGCGTCGCGTCCTCTGCCCTCAGTAGCAGCTGGAGTCAGAGCTACCAGCGTCATCACCACCAGCCACGCCGTCAGGTACATCTTCGAGTGGAGTCTGTATGTCTGGCGTTACTAAATCAGTCTTAAGGAGGTGAGAACTATATCCACTAGAAGTTAACCATACATTATCTCAGCAGGTATACAGGTGCAGCGTCAGGTACCAGCAGGTGATGGGGTCAATCTTCCACTCTCACACGGTACTGGTGTCTCTTGGACGAACGAACACTCACTGTACTCCACAAGGTGTCTCAACGTGATGACTTACAAGGTGAGGAAATGGTCACACAATAATCTGGTATTCTCAGTCACTAGAGAACTCAAGCAGCGATTGTTTTACCCACTAGAGTAAAGATCACCTGACAGTCAGCCTCATTAACAAGACACCACCTACATTACACCTTTCGTTCTCTCAGGTAATCATTTTTGACGTATCTTCTCTTCCTGTTTTCTCTACGTCTCTTTTTCTCTCTCTCACTCTTCTGGTTTTTTCTCGTCTTCTCCCAACTCTTCCTTTACTCCCCCGGGGCTGATAAAGTATACTCTCACCTCTCTCTCTCCCTCTCCTCCTCCTCCTCCTCCTTCTTCCTCTCTCTTCCCTTACTTCTTGTTGTCACCACCAGGCCACAACCTTCAGAGTACTGAAGAAGTGTCCCTCGTGGAGCTTTACCCCAAGACCTTCCGACGAGGGTTAAGGCGTGAGAGGAACACGTCACTGTTCCTTGGTCCTGATGACGATGAAGGTGTGAGGCGATCTTCTAACCTTATGTCATCGTCCTGTGTAATGTCCTGACGATGACTGCTGACGAAGAGACAACAACGACATGTACAATAGCCTTCCTTTATACCTTCATAGTGCCTCGTCCTGTAACACAACTCCTGACCATGACGATGATGGTTGACGTGTGAGAGATAGAGAGTGACTGTGGTGTAACCTCCTCTTACACCTTATATATAACCTCCACTGTCACACACCAGGTGAGACAGAGAGAGAGTTGTGATCACTATAGTCACTAAGTGTGTGTGTGTGTGTGTGTGTCATTGCTCAATACCTTATCTCTCTCTCTCTCTCTCTCTCTCTCTCTCAGCTTTCATTACTCAACTAACTGCATTTAGATTTGGTTAGATTTACGTTAAGTTAGGTTAGTTTTAGGTTATGCAAATTTTACATTAATTTAGAATAGATAATCTTGGTGCATCAGATACGGAAAATATATAGTTGGGGGAGGGGGGAAGGGGGGGCAGACGTCATTTTGGTTAACGACCATTTAAAGGTTCTTCCTGCCCTCATGCGCGTGTGTTCTGCCGCTGGTCATAGGGAGGATGACTATTGAGAGGAAAATGAAAGTGATTCGCGGGAAATGCTGTGAGTGGCGCTGCGGCAAGGGAAAGTATCACGTTAATTAATTACTCGTGAAGGAAGGTACCTGTGTCATTAATTACTTGTAAAGGAAGGTACCTGAGTTATTAATTACTTGCAAGGGAAGGTACTCTTATCTAAACTTCTTCTATCCACAGTTACGAAAGCTAAAGTAAAAAAAAATCTAACTAAGGAATTTTTAGGAATCTGGTAGCGGTGGACTCACTCTCTCTCTCTCTCTCTCTCTCTCTCTCTCTCTCTCTCCAGCCCAACATCAAGTATTCATTTATATCGAGATTTGGCCCGAAAATATGAAACTGAAGCCGATACCAAGTTTTTTCTGTATCAGGGTTCCAACAAAAACACGAGGAAACATAATGTGAAAAATATAAGAACTTTGGCTGAAAAAACAAATGACAATCGTTGGCTCTGAAAACAAACGATAAACATTAACACATTCACAGTTCTCTCTCTATCCACCCACACCAACCCACACACCCACACCAACCCACACACCCACCCACACACCTCCCCACTTTCCCTGCACTTTCATTTCCCTCTCCCTACGAAAGTTGACCAAGGGTGAAACTTTTATCTCCAGTCAGGAGTTTTAATCATTCTCTTCTTTTTCTCTACCATGATGAAAAACACCCACAGAGAGTTGGAGGAATTCTTACTATTCCCATTTCGTGTATAAGTGAAGGAATCTTTTTAACAAGACTTGAAAAGAAAAAAAATAGTTGAGTCTGGCCTAAAATCAAACAATAAATACGTTTTCCTTAATGGTGGATTTCTTTTATTGGAGAGAGAGAGAGAGAGAGAGAGAGAGAGAGAGAGAGAGAGAGAGAGAGAGAGAGAGAGAGAGATGCCCAAGAGATCAAACTCCTCTATTATGTGTGTGTGTGTGTGTGTGTGTGTGTGTGTGTGTGAGCTGAAGGACGGGCGTGCGGGCGTGATATGGGTGCGTTTTTTATGTACATGTATAAAGGGCTGGCGAGAATAATACGTATGCGGTTGGCTGGATAAAGTACGCCTATGTATGTATGTATGTATGTATGTATGTATGTATGTATGTATGTATGTATGTATGTATAAGTTACACACAGATACATACATACACGCATTGTAAGTATAAACACACATCTTTGTCGCTTGTCCTGTTCTTGCCCGCAGCCTTATGTATATACTAGGGAAAACAGCCCTTTACTGCGTCACGGTGAAAGAGTTCCCCTTAACGAGGCTTTCACCATCGTCACCCTAGTATCACACACACTGTCACGGTGTGTGTGTGTGTGTGTGTGTGTGTGTGTGTGTGTGTGTGTGTGTGTGTGTGTGTGTGTGTCATAGCTGGATGATAGTCATACTAGATTCCGAGTAGGAGTAGTTTGTTTGTGTGTACAACAACAACAACAAATAATAATAATAATAATAATAATAATAATAATTAATAATATTAATAATAACAACAACAACAACAATAATAATAATAATTAATAATAATAACAACAATAACAACAACAACAACAAACCCAGGCTAGAATCACAACAATAACAGTCAGGTGGTGAAGACTTTACAACTTCACTTAAGACAAACTCCTGCAGGTGAAACAACTCACACACCTAAGTGGAGATGACACGACTTCACCCCCAACAAGTTAGTTACCTGAAGAAGGGGAAGCATGAAGGAGGGGCACATGAAGGAGGGGTACATGAAGGAGGGGCACATGAAGGAGGGGCACATGAAGGAGGGATACATGAAGGAGGGGTACATGAAGGAGGGGCACATGAGGGAGGGATACATGAAGGAGGGGGCATGAAGGAGGGGCACATGAAGACGGGGCACATGAAGGCGGGGGCACATGAAGGAGGGGTACATGAAGGAGGGATACATGAAGGAGGGGCACATGAAGGAGGGGCACATGAAGGGGGGATACATGAAGGCAGGGCACATGAAGGAGGGGTACATGAAGGAGACAGACTAAGAAATATATGAGGTGGGTTTTATCTGTCGTAGTGTGATTCAACAGTAAAGCTGCGTCCACATACTTCACCTGGTAATTAAGTCAACTCCTACGCCCAGAAATAAACAAACAGTATACAGGAAACACTCTGTAAGACTCGACGCTGCAATATCCTGACTACTTGCATCTGATACACACCTTTTATGACCTCTGACCTCTGTTCTGTAATCCTTTTTTGCGACACCGTTCACAGGCTGAGTAATGGATACACAATAAACTAGCTGCTGTCCCCGGCAAAATACAAATTAAAACAAAACAAAAGAAGAAAAACGGTCATGTACAACCCTGAAATGTTCCTGGACAACACCTGTACCTTTACTTGTCACTGTACCTGTACATTTACACACATTTTCTTAATTAACACCAACTACACTTTCTGTACCTGTATCAATATTTCTGAATTGATAACTGTACCTGCACCTACACCTGTACCTGCACCTACACCTGCACCATCACACCTGTACCATCACACCTGTACATCACACCTCCAATAATAATGACTGACTCACCCTCACAGTAAGATATTCGCACCAAGGACGACTTAATTACCCCGGCAGCAGCGGCGACTAACAAGCACACGCTGATTACCAAAAGCCGAAATCAAAACGACTCTCCTGCAACTCTCAGATTGAATAAACTCAACTCGTCTCCCCAGGAAGTAGGTCATGCGTGTACCAAAGGCGCTCTGAAATTGACTGAGATTCTCTGCAAATGACCTCGTATGACTTGGCCTCCACAAAAGACTCGGTGTGTAGTTTTGTGTGTGGGGGTGAGGGAGGGAGGGGGAGGCATATGGGGGTGAGGGAGAGGGAGGTGTGTGAAGGTGAGGGAGGGAGGGGGAGGTGCGTACAGGTGAGGGAAGGGAGGCAAGGGGAGGTGAGGAGGAGGTACAAAAAATTAGGAAAACGAAGTAAAACAGATTAATAAACAATTCCATAAACTATGCAAACTTCCCTTACCCCCTTACCCCTGGACCCCTTACCCCTTACTCCTTACCCCTGACCCCCTTACCCCCCGATTCCTTACCCCTTTTTACCCCAAAGACCTAGCTAAAAGACCTCACCAGGGCAGGGGGGAGGGGGGACTGAGACCTTCCTGCCGTTGCCCTTAAAACAGACTCACTGGGGAAGGGACAGAAATAACAGCGTGATACAGCGGCAGGTTGGAGTCAGCGAGACAGACAAACAGACAGAAAGAGATAAAGACAGTCTGACAGAGATATAGAGACAGAAAGATAGAGAACATGAGGAGAAAGAGGACAGAATGGGGAGGCTGAGGGAAGTAAGAGAGACAGAAAGATAAAAGAAGGAAAAGAAGACAAGAGATAGATAAAGACCCCACATCTTACCCCTAACACACACACACACACACACACACACACACACACACACACACACACACACACACACACACACACACACACACACACACACACACACACACACACACACACACACACACACTATTCTAATATAAAGCATAAATCTCCTTCCCTCACAGACACAAAGATAAACAGTAATTAAACCTCAAGTATTCCCACATTTTTTTAACCTCCATCTCAAGTCATTTTACGGTCTCGTGAATCTTAAATGCACACTGGAGTCCAATTTCACCCTGGTGCCCCTCTGATCCACGGAAGAGAGAGAAAAATATACACACAATTATCATCAAAGAAAACCCCAGATTTTACTGTAATAATCATTTAAAATCTGGGTGTTGTTTTTGTAGAATGTCCAGATTTTTAATATGTAAGTACTTAAAATCGGGGTAATATAGTATTAGTATATCCAGATTTTTAATGGTTGTATATACTAAAATCTGGGTGGTCATTTTTCTACAATGAACAGATTTTGGATGACTTTGTATATATGAGGAAACTTAATAATATAAAGTTAAATATGTAAATGTATGTAAAATAATGTGTTAGGCAAAGGTTGATCTTGTTGTACTTAGGTTAATTTATCATACTGAAGGTGTTAAGTTATCATACTGAAGGTGTTAAGTTATCATACTTAAAGGGTTAAGTTATCATACTGAAGGTGTTAAGTTATCATACTGAAGGTGTTAATTTATCATACTGAAGGTGTTAAGTTATCATACTGAAGGTGTTAAGTTATCATACTGAAGGTGTTAAGTTATCATACTGAAGGTGTTAAGTTATCATACTGAAGGTGTTAAGTTATCATACTGAAGGTGTTAAATTATCATACTGAAGGTGTTAAGTTATCATACTGAAGGTGTTAAGTTATCATACTGAAGGTGTTAAGTTATCATACTTAAAGGGTTAAGTTATCATACTTAAAGGGTTAAGTTATCATACTGAATTCCTCCACCACACCCTCCCTCCCTCCCCCTCTTTCTTCACCTTTAAAACCTCCTCCTCTTGCTCCTCCTCTTCCGTCTCCTCCTCCCCATCCACTTACACATCCCTCTTTCACTCTCCTTCACTCTCTCCCATTCACCCATCCCTCCCATCCCACCCATCCCTCCCATCCCCCCATCCCTCCCATCCCACCCATCCCTCCCCCCATCC